TATATATGTATGTATACACATGCATATATGCATGTACACATATATCTGTATAGTATATACAGATTATGACATAATCTGTATATATATATATATATATATGCAGGTACATGTCACATATACGCAATCATACATGTCGAATCCCTGTATATATATATATATGTGCGTGTGTGTATGCGTGTGTGCGTCATGCCTTTGAGGATATCGCATGTACTATTATACATGAGTGTGCATGCGCGTTCATGTCACACTTTCTCCGGAGCCGAATCCACCTATGTGTCTATCTTTACTTTTAGCTACCTACTTATTTACCTACCTACTTGTTAACCGACCTTTCTCATCCATCCATCCATCCATTCATCCACCCATCTATCCATGTACCTGTCTGTCTGTCTACTTGTCTACTTAACCTATCTATCAATCTACCTATTTCTCTATCTATCCATCTATCTATCTATCTACCTATCTATCTATCTATCTATCTACGCATCTATCCACGCATCCACCCATGCACCCATTCCGATATGCAAACATTCATAGTTGAGGGTTTTTCAGCTCCGAAACCCTGCAGCACCACAGCAACGCCAAAACCTAATCCCAAGCCGAGTCAATATGCCTGTCTTGGATTTCGAGGCTTTGACGGGCCCGGAGTCTTCTGCAGACGTCTCCGCCTTGGACTCTGACTCTGCTTCTTGGGGTTCTCTGAAACCTCAAAAGCCCTATAAAGGAGAAGCCAGGAATAAAAGATAATAAGTCAAACTCCAAATTCTGACTCTAAACTTTGGGATCCAGGAGCTCCATGCGTTCTGGTGTCGTTTGCTGCTTCGCTCATCTCTTTTTCTCTCCACCTTGTCTTGTGCCGTCTCCGGACCCTGCGCCTGTGCATGTGCTCCGGTGCTTTCAGAGTATGGGTTTAGGGTTTAGGATTTAGGGTTTAGGGTTCAGGGTTCAGTCCGTGCTGAAAAAGGGTTTAGGATTTAGGGTTTAGGGTTTAGGATTTAGGGTTTAGGGTTTAGGATTTAGGGTTTAGGGTTTAGGGTTTAGGATTTATGATGGCGTCTTGCTCTGTTGCACGGTGGCATACGAAGAAAGTATACGTAGCTTCATGAGCATAATGTAGAACCGCCGCCAAATCCCACAATGGCAGGCTTGCGGTAAGAAGCGGTGAAGAACAGAGTCCAGTTTGAGTATGGTACATATGGGATCTCCTCACTGGCAATCTATATTTACCTTCGGTTCACCGCCGCTCACTGCCCCAAAATGCCTGCTACTCTAGTACTAGACGAATATTCGTACTATTCATGCTAACACCAATACCAATACTGATACTGGCATACTACTTGGAGGTTCACGGGTAGTTATGAACGGGGTTATAAGTAGGGTAACTATACCTATAACCCATATATTGGGGGACTTATAACCCCACTTATAACTACCCCTAAACCCTAAACCCTTAACCCTATAGAACCCTATAAAGGAACCGTATAACCCCACTTATAACTACCCATGAACCTCCAAGTAGTGCTAATACCATGCCCAGAAGATGGAAGAGCTACTCCAGTCCGAGGAGGCGGGCTTCTGCCTTGCGCGTCAGGGTGGCAGCTTTGATGGTTCAGTTCAGGCTTTCTTTCGAGTCTTGGGTTTGGCAGTTTGGGGCCAAGTGAAGGAGCATAAGCATGGAATCTTAGGGGTTTAGGGTTTTTTTTGCAGGGTTTAGGGTTTAGGGTAAACTTCGAAGAACAGCCTCAAACCTCGCCCCGCCTGCTCCAAAACTTCAAGTCCTCGCCAGGGCCTGACGTTCAAAGAAAATGAGCCGCAGCCCACCAAGGTCCTCCGGCCCCACCGCGGGCTTTCAGGTCTTTCGGCCATAGGGCGTATAAGCGGTTAAAGGGTGTAGCAAGCTTCGTTTGAAAGTTGTGAACATCGCAATGTGAAGGATCAGTCTGACAGTCTGCCCCAGGCACTCATCACCATAGAACAATTAGGTTGTCATTATTCACGATTGTGGTCTCACTTTGTAGTCCAGGGGTTCAGGTAAACAAGACGTGCCTACATAAAGGAGCTTGGGATTTCTAAGGAAGGAGCGATCCGATTTTGTTTTGCCCTCGCATCCAGCGTTCCCGTCACGCGGAGGCCGCTGAAGCGAACAGCCCGGCCCAAAGCAAGGCGACTGTGGGGTTTAGGGTTTTGGGTTTTGGGTTAGTCCGGAAGACTCCAGCCCTCGTCGATGTCGTCGAGATATCGTCGTTGTAGTGCTACCAGTAGGCGAAATGAATCGGCGAGAAGAATGACAGGACGGACAAGAGGCAACAAGGAGCGATGAAAAGCCTTCGGAGGAAGAGGCGAAGGACTCGTCCTGCCAAGCCAAGGCTTTTTCAGTTCTTTGCGAGATGGCATATGGGGGTTTCCGAAAATAAGGGGTACCCTATTTTGGGGTCCTTATATTAAGGATCCTACTATTTAGGGTACTATATTAGGGTCCCCTATTTTCTGAAACCCCCATATTGGCAGTGTTAGGACTCCTATAGGGTTGACTAGGACTTTCAAACACGTTCACGGCCGGCCGCTGACATAAGAAACGAAGGCACTAGAGTGGCATGCAATCTACAGGGCTGTGGGTTGATATTTCTTCGGGCCACGCGGCCACCTGCCTAGCTCCATGACGTTTCCCATGGCTGCTCTTTCCGGGGCGTCCTGGCCCATACTGAGACCCCAGATTCTCGAAGCAGGAAGAGGAGAAGAAGAAAGAAGAAGCCACCGAGATCAAGGATGAGCTGAAGGATGAGGGGGAAGAGGCGAAGCAGGAGGCCGAGGCCAAGGAGATGAAAGCTGAAGAGGAGATGAAAGAGGAGGAGGAGGAGGAGGAGCAGGCACCCACAGACACTTGGATGGCATCCCTTTCAGATTTCTTGTTTAGAGCCCTAGCCCGGAAGGCCTCCGGACGGTTTCAGGCCTAGGGGAATTCTCAAGTGCATCCACTGGGCGTTTCAGGCGAGGCAGAAGGGACCTGACAAACTGGCCTGGCATGCCCTACTTGGAGGTTCATGGGTAGTTATAAGTGGGGTTATAAGTCCCCTAACATGGGTTATATGTATAGTTACGCTACTTGTAACCCAATGATAACTACCCACGAACCTCCAAGTACCACACACGAATGTTCCGGCATTAGTATTTAGGTCGTCAGAATTGCAACCTGACGGGGCCTGAACGCAGGTGAAAGAAGAGGTAAAGGAGGAAGACGTCGAGATGAAGGAATGTGCAGCAGAGAATTCGTTCAACTTCAGTATAAACCCCTAAGTTCCGGAGTACACGGAAAACCTGAACCGAGAGGCTCGTGTCTCAGCTCACCTCAGCCCTCCAGTCGGTCTTGTGAGCTTTGCAGAGACCCCCGTGCGCGTGGCCTTGGAGACTCCGTTTTGAGATCAGGTCACTTCGGTCTTCCTAGGTCGAGATTATAGGGTTTCGATAGGGTCTAGGATCGAGGTGTGTCTTTTTCCTCTGCCGTTATAAAGCAGGGCTCCACGAGCTCTACAAGTAGCGCAGGCCTTCATCAGGGTATTGGAGCCGAGAACTGCTCCGCACCCCGGCAGCGCTGTTCAGACGCCCACATGTCCAGAGAACCTAATACCCCTTAATTAAGGAATATACCTTAAACCATAGGGCCATAGGGGCCTTAATATTATGATTTAAAGTATATTCCTGAATTAGGGGGTATTGGGTTCTCTGGGTGTGAGAAGCACAATCCTGGCTAGAGGGTATCGACCTGCACCCCTAATTCGCAACGGCCCTGAAATGTCAATCCAGAAAACCAGCAGGGCATCAAGCACTCCGCCCCGTTCTGGAGAATCCTACCTGGCTTCGCTTTGGGTTTCGGATTCCGCTACATGTACTCTAGTGGAAATCAGTGCATGGCATGACTACTGAGTTTGCAGCCGTTTGCTTGTCTCCCCATGAAAGGACGTGAACAAGAAGATCCCCCCTAGTTTCTGTCTTTGCCTTGGGGATGTCTGGGGTTACAGTTTAGCCAGCGCATCCGAGCCCGTCGAGGCCTAGAGCTCAGCCCGAGCGTTCGGAATACTTTCTCAGCATCCGATTTCGACTGTATTTGAGGTGGCTGCTGTAGGATGGCGGCATACCCACGACATGGGCATCCATGCCGCTGGACTATCATCCAAATCCCAGTGCTGCAGTTCTTCAGTCCCCTTGAACCTAAAAATCCCTACACTCTATAAGCCCATATATAAGCCCTATACACCTAGGCCTCGCCTCCCGACTCAGTTCGCCATGGGGCAGCACTCCGCGCGTCCCAGCTGCGAGCCTCCGCAGCGTCGCACCGGCGAAGGCAGACTCCACAAAAGGTCCGAAGGTTGTTGCTTAGGGTTTAAAGGTCTGGGGTTCGGGATGTACGGTTTGGTCTCAATCATTTGGTTTCGAGTTTTTTGTTGGAACACATTCACTAAAAACATATCCTTAACTACATCTTTATGTCGACCTCTGTCTCTACTTATCTATCTATCTATCTATCTATCTATCTGTTCAATACGGATATATACGCACACACACACACACAAACAGACAGAGAGTGTTCAAGAGCTTCAGAGCCTAAATCATTTCTCGTAAACCCTGGAACCCACGACGCAAACCCTAAAACCTAGCATGCACTTTCAAGCCTAAAACCTCGTACAACCATCAACACCACATACGACCCCATGCAGGCCTGAATAAGGCCCTCCTGAAACCCCCTCTTGAAGCCCTCAAAGAGGAAAAACTCCCTCTTGAAGCCCTCTTTAAGAGGAAAAACTCCCTCTTAAAGCCCTCAAAGAGGAACCCTCCGAGGAGTCCGTAAGAGACCCGATCTTTTGCAGGCGCTGCCGAGGAGCCTCTGACGGGCTTCCTTCTTCGGCAGCTGCGGGGAGCCAGATGGGAGTGGCAGAAGGCAGCTGGGTGCTCCAGGGCCATTTCTGTGTATTTGGTGTTTAAGTTTCTTAGTTTAGAAGTGGGTTTTTTTTAAGGGTGTTTGGGTGCAAGTTAGTGTTTACATGGTTGAGAGTTTTGAACTAAAGTTTTCGGGTGGCTGAGGTACTCGCGGATCCGTGGGAGCTCCGTGCCTTCTCTTGGCCGCGGGGTCGAGAGGCGCAGTGTGGTTTGGAGGTTCACATGTAGGTATAAATGGGGATACTATAAGGGTTAGGGTTTAAGGATTTTTTGTTTAGGGTTCAGGGTTCATGGGTAGCTACGAATGGGGTTATAAGTAGTAGGGTGACTACTTGTAACCCATGTTAGGGGACTTATAACCCCGCTTAAGGCTACCCATGAACCTCCAGGTATCAGGAGGGTAGCTATACTTATGACCCATATAACAATAACTACCCATGAATCTCCAAGTGGTTTGGGGAGGATTCAAGCTTTCGGACGGGTTTAGGGGTTTTGGGGCTCAGGGGTTTAGGAGTTGTGTGGGGTTTAGAGGCCATGGGTTGATATATTTGGTTTAAATAGCGTCTTGGAATTTGAATTGAGATATTGAGTGTTCGACTGTGAGGGTAGCTCCACCCACCCACGGTTCATAAATTAGAAGCGTATGAGAATGTAGGAAGTGCTGAAGTATTGCCTGTGGCTCGCACTGCGTATCGAAAGGGCTCTTAGCTCTACCTCATCATGATAAAGAGGTCATGGGCTGCAGGAATATGATCATGCAAAATAGGACCTGAAGGGTTTTAAATTGAGGGCTTAGGGTGACACTTGTTGGGGGCTTTCAGGGCTTAAGGAGGGTTTATCTGTTGTTGTCTTGATGGCTTGGGGCTTAAAGGGCAGGGCGGAGCCATATCTATAGGGTCGCAGCTGCTTCGAAGAAAGGGCTGTTGGCTGGTCGACTTAGGGAGCCGTGCCTTTAGCTTGTGCAGGAGTCTTCTACGGCATTGTGTTTCTTTCGTTTTCTGAGCTTTTCTTCGGTGCAGTTGTTTAATTGTCTTCAACTCAGCATCCGAAAGTTGAGCCGGAGAAAACTGGGCTTCTGATTTGATGGACTGGTGGATTCATGTGCCAGGCTCGTTGCTTGTCTCCCGAATCTTGCACTTGGCTCAACTCGAGAGGGGTTGGGGTGTGGCCCTGTCCACAATGCATCCCCCTCCGTGATTGTATATATATATATATATATGATAAACACAGGCGCGCATGCAGATCGCACATGGCTGCCTTGCAGCTGTGCGCTGAGTAGATCTCGTAAGTGATGTCTGTCCTGCATGCGCGCTTCATCGGATTATGCCGCTTCTATCGAATTTGGTGGTCTCACCTGCATGGCAAGCATAGCGGCCATGCACCAGGCAGATCCATGGAGCCCCGAAGCAAAAATGCCTCTGCACCTGCTTCTGCATCCGAATATATGCATGCATGTGCATGTGTATGTATCTGCACATGCATTCACGGACGGATGGCTCGCTGGCTGGCTGGCCTTTCGGATGGGCGGATGCTTTCGGATTCAGTAGGCCAAGAACCCTCAGCAGCCCAACCTTGAACCCCCTCACCTTTCAACGTTCAGGGTCGTCAAACCTTTTTAAACGTTAGTCAGCACTGTAGTCCTTGAGAATCGGGGAATCTGAGCGTTGCTGCCCCTATCTCCAGGCAGGCTGCGTCGAGATGTCTGAAGTCGTCAAGGCGGATCGAAGTGAGATTCATACGTTTGAGGGCACTGTGGGAGCCTGTTCGGGCAACGAACGCCGAGTGGTGTTTCATTGTCTTGCTCTAATAGCTGGAAAGCATGATTCAGAGACGTAGCCGCTAGCATGAGCACAAGTCGAAGAACAGGGGGCCGTATCCCAAGAAGGGCACAGTTGTTTTGAAGCCCCTTCTCAATGCCCGCCAACCCCGTCTCATCCCTATAGCTATACTTCCAGGAATAATCCCAACAGGACCCTTTAAGCCTGTAAGACCCTAGAGGTGGAGACTCTTTGGCTCGTGGATCCGCAGGTGCCTTGCCAGGGATTTTGGGCTTCGGGTAGATGGTAAAGCGTAGTACGCAGTGGGATGCGATGCGGGCTGCGAGGAAAGCAATTCCGGAGTGTGTTCGTGAGTGTGCATTCCCATTACGGTACCCTGCCGAAGCGAGTGGCTAGTCTCTGCGAGACTCCACAGCTATTCCACAGACTTTGGTAGCTGCTCTCAGACGAAGCCACGGCACCGACGCTTGAACCAGTGGGTCCTCACGTGAGGTCTGCGTGGTGCCGCTAGGGGCCCGTGCCGAGGCGCCAAGCGGCAACTTGGCGAAGTCTGGCTCTTCCGATAAAGGTGGGGTCTTCATCCGGGGTCTGCGCTGCAGATATGACTGCAAACTGGTGCAGGATCATGTTGGATCATCGCCCAATTGAGCGCAGCATACTGGTTCTGGGTTGCTGACTGTGGGTTTTCACGCGGTCCTGTCTCGTTTGTTTTGCTGAGGTTGGCGAATTGATTACGACAGCAGAGGCTAAACCCATGGGAGCTTAAGGGCTGCTTGGACACATCTCTGCGAACTCCATTATATCAACATTTGGACTACGGAGTGCAATACGCCTTGTCCGCTCTTGCCATTGCTCACCCCCCAAAAACAATCACGACAGGTTTTTCCGTAGGCTTGACCCTCTCTCTAGGCTTCAGAATCAAACTTTCGGCCCATGGCCTCACGCCCCCCAGTTTCGTGTACATCCTAAACCCTCGTCTGCATCCAGCGATCTGAGGTGAGCCAACACCCGCAGGGTTCGCCCTGATACAGCGGAACGGCCAGGCGCGCTCCCGTCTCAGCCTCTTGCCACCGATGATGGGCTCAAGCGAATGGGCGGTCTGAGCATCTCTAGGCGAGTGTATCTACAGATTTGGGGCCCCACTCCTGCAACACCCCCTCTAAACCATCTCTGAATCTTTTAAACCCCCTCTAAACCCCTCTAAGCCCCCTGAAAACCCTAAGCCCTAAACCCCCCTCTAAAACCCCTCTAAGCCCCCTGAAAACCCTATAAGCCCTAAACCCTCCATTCCTTGCAGGAGTGGGTCTTTTGCGCTCCCTCACCTGCACTTCGGGAAGCATGGCTGGCGGCCTTCCAGGACCTCCTGACCCTGGCCAAGCAAGGCTGGAGGTTTACTTACTTATACTCTCCATTGCAGTTCCTTTTTTTGGTTTAACCAAATATATATATATATATATATATATATATTAACGAGTGTATAAGGTATCCCAAAAAGGAACTACAATGGAGACTACAGGTAGTCCCCCAATACCCAACCTTTAAACTCTTGTTGGATTCTTGTAGTTTAGTAGTAATCTGAAAGTTTAACATTTTATTTCTCTGGCTTACTGGAGAAGTAAGTTTAAGGCCCAGGGTGTTTGCCTTTCAGGTTTGGGGGTGTGGGAGCAACTACACGGAATACCCGTTCCCAGTCGAGACGTCGAAGGATGAAATTGAATAATGTAGGGGCCTTAATAATTAGAATAGGGTTTTGGGATATACTATAAGTATAATAAGGAACCCCCAAGACAGTATAGGTTACGCCCTGCTCGTTCTTGGCAAAGCCCCGAACGTGAGCTGTGGACAACACCTGTAGAGCCCTAAGTCTAAACTGAATCCTAACATCAAGCAGTAAAATTCTCTTGAACGGCGTATACAGATACAGAGAAAGAGAGAGAGGGAGAGAGAGAGAGAGACCCTATGCCCCGGAGAATATAGAATAGAATAGAGAAAGAGAGAGAGAGAGATATATATATATATGTATTTTTTTACGTACATACACGATTATATATCCATAAAACTACAGGCCCGTGAACTTCCTGAGCCCTGATGAATATCAGCCCACGAACCCCAAACCTCCTGCCCACAAGTTAAGAGAATCAAGGCGTTTCCCGACACCAGACGACCTGATATCCAAGATGCCGCCGCAGGCTTGCCGAGACCACAGGAGCAGCAGAGACCGGCCCAGGTTGTAGAAGCGACGCCTGCAGGCTAGTTTTGAGGGCTTGTGGTTTGTTTCTTGGGCTTTGGGCATCGGGTTTTTATGTCAGCACCTGACCTTTGTTTACGGATCACGGGTTTGGACTCTGCACGAGTGAGAGAGGACGGTGACAGGTCCTCCCCCTTCGAAGGGGAAAGGCCACGGAAAGGGCCCCCGCGGCCCTGCGCCGCCGCCGAAAGCCAAGGCCACCCGGGCCCGGAGCCTCGTGTTCGTTTGCTCAAGACACAAAGGCGTCCCAAATTCCGACGGCGGGTCACACTACCTGTCATTTCATCTCTGCATCCTCATTGGAAATGTCTATTGAGTCTATTGGTTTCTCTTGAATCGTGCTGCTGCGAGGTGTGTTTGCACAGGGGAGGGTGTATGTAGCTTTGGATCAGCAAGCATTAGACAAACTGAAGTTAGCCTCGATGAGGAAAGCAGAATGTCTCAACCTGGCCTGCTCATTTGTAGATGGAGTTCTTGGCACCAGATGACATGCAAGCCCTTCACACGCAAAGACTTGCGACTGGTGTCCCTCGCCCCGCAGTTAAAGAGCTTCGAACGTCTTCACAAGAACTCAGATTGTCGTCGGCTACGCCTCAGCCGGCGGGATGTGTCAGGGATGAACGGGTCCTGGTCAAGCTCCTTGTTGTAGCAGGACGAGGATGAAAGCCTTGGATCTGAAAGTTGACATTGACTGTGAACCGGTAGTTTTTTAACAGCCGTGTGCATGTTGCCGCAGGTTTTGAACTCAATCCTTGTAGTGATACGTACAGTCGCCATGAACCCCCCCGACTGCTTCGTAGCTGCTTTTCCCGGCGCGGTACGGACCGTGGACCGGGCGGTGCCGGCAAGAAGGGTGCAGGTCGCGGTGCAGGAAGTTGCCAACCGAGGCTCGTCGCAAGTTCGACAGAGTCTTTGTTTGTGGCTGCACATAGCATGTTTGTGGACCCGGATGCACTGCAAGGACAGACTTTCACTGCTCCAGCCGTCCTTGCTGCTAGCGTGGCAGCACGTCGCGCTGCCCAGCGCCGGGGTAAACAACGGTCGACTGCCTGCCGGCAGTCGCCAGCAACAGCAGTTCTGGCACCTAGGGTTCGCGAGGCGCATCCATGTCTTGATTGGCTGCTTCATGAAAAATTGCACAAACATTTTGCACGGTGTGTCCCGTCTCTCGCTTCTGTGTGGAGAAGAAGGAGAAGTCCGTAGGCACGGGAGTACGAGTACATCAGTAGTACTTAGTAGTACTTAGTAGTACTTAGTAGTAGTAGTAGTAGTAGTAGTAGTAGTAGCAGTAGTAGCAGCAGCAGCGGTAGCAGTAGCAGTAGCAGGAGCAGCAGGAGCAGCAGCAGTAGCATCATATTCAGCATCATCAGCAGTATCAGCTCGCAGTACAATCAGCGGCGCTGCTGGGGGCGGTGGTCGTGGTCGTCATCGTCGTTGTTGCCTCAGCGACATGAACTACCTAATGATCCTGCTGATGCCAAGACCCATCATGTTTTCGAGCCTCATTTTCGCTATTGGGTATCTGTTCTTAGTAGCTGAGTGAGTACACTTGAAACTTTGTGGGATAATATGATCCCTTCTAGAACTGAAATATACACTTTTTGGGGCTTATGAACTCAGCAACTATCTGTTTGTAACTTAGAAAGTGCGGCATGCCTTCGGGTTTCTGAAACTGTGACCCTCTGAATTACCTAACCTAAACTCTCAGCCGCCGCCAGCTGATAGCGTGGTATGTCATGAACTACAATGGAAATAGACCATAAACACTATAAGCTCGAAAGCCTAGACGGTGGTACGGCGATCCTACATCCAAAACGATGCTCCGTGAGAGTTTGGCGGCAAAGTCGTCAAACTCCAGACTCCACACCCCTGGTGGCCCCAAGAACCCTAAAGCCCAACACCAAGAATCCCTAAACTCTCAACCTGACCGGAACCCCTACGTCCCAGACTCCGTCTATCTCCGCTGAAACCCGCAGGTGCAGTCGTCCATGCATGACCTGCCGGATAGCCTTCGACAGGCCTTAGCCGACCTGAGACTCCAGTTTCCAGTACCAGAAATCCGGATCTCAGATCACGGCGCGTCCTTGCTGCTTTAAGGCTTAAGGATTGGTGGGCTTTGGGTATTAGGTGTTTAGCCAGGACATCTGATGTTGCAGACCCCTAAACCCTAGACCCTAAACCCGAAAACCCAAACCCTAAACCCTAACCCTAAACCCTAAACCCTAAACCCTAAACCCTAAACTCCCAAGTGCGAATGCCCGAACCCGAAACCCCGAGCCCTGTAAACCCTCAGCCACTGACAGGCTTTATCGTGTGTTGCATGTCGGCGTAGGTTCCTCTCAAGGGTTCCTCTAAATGATTTTAAGGGTGCCGGAAGCAGTTTTCAAGGTTTTGGAATTTTGCCGGGGTCCGCAACATGTATACAGTATGAAGCCGCACAAACCCCAGTCTCTGTGTTCAGGCCTCAATTGAACGAGACTTAGTATATCGTTCTGGGCGGAAGGAGTTTCCAAGAAAGGATGCCGTGAATCTGTCCTGGAATGGCATCCTGCCTGTACTCCGCAAGTTCTGCGAAGATCACATGAGACCTCGTTGAATTGTCGGTGCAGCGAATTCAGCACGGCGTCATCAGACTCACATATCCGCGGGATCGGACATCCCAAGCAAAGTGCTGGGAAACCGGTTTGCCGTTTTGATGCAGTGAGTGAGACAGACTATGTATGCCCAGCAAAATGTACAGTCTACAGTATATATGAGTATGTATGTGTATACATATATATATATATATGTAGATATGTGTATATATATATATTCTGTATATATAACTATACAACTATACACACACACAGCGGGACACAGTGAGACTGCGTTTTTGTTTGTTTTATGCACTTCCAGGGACACGAAACACAGCCAGGAATCAAAAACTAACCAACATATATATATATATACATATAGACATATTTGACACGCAAAGTATGTGTGTGTATATATATAT